TTAGCTAGCATGAGTGAAGTGCCAGGGTCAGTCTGAAGCACTGTGTGAACCAGCCACAGGGGGCACACCTGCAGTCCCAGCACCCAGAAGACAGAAGCAGGAGGATCCAAAATTAAAGCCACCCTTGAGACCCTGTCTCAAAAAGAAAGTGAGGGAGAAGGATATGATCCATTGTGGCAGGACCCCTGACCTCTGACATCAGAGATGTGATCTCCCAGCCCATATCTTAGACAGCAGCCACCTCTCTGGACTATCCTCTTCCCTGGTCACACCCTGTCTCCGTCTACAAGGTGAAGGGGTTGGGCCTGCAGGCAAGCTTTAAATTCATCTCTTCCAGAGGCTGCTACTCCTTGAGCTGAGGCCTGACAGCTCAACAAGGACAGAGATGATGAACAAGTCCCACGCTTGATGGTATCCAGGCTGGAAAATGTCCTACCTAGGAGCTCCCCAGAGTAGGGTTCTGAGATCCAAAGATTATGTGGCCAGTGGGGCCAGCAGTCCCCAACCACTGATGACAATCACTACAGTTGTATATTATATACCTACCATCCATGAGGGAGGCCCCAGTACCCACCTCAGGTATCCAAAGCCACGGGCACTCAGCACTCGATATCAATGCCTCCTGCATTTGCATATGACCTATACACAGTCCACTGTTATTTTCAGTCATCTTCAGATTATGTATGCCACCTTGGGAGTGCTATGTAACTAGTTTTTAATTGTTAGGTTAAATTAGTTAAGGAGTAATGACAAGAAAAAAAAATGGTCAGGCATGTGGTGCTTGCCTGTGTTCCAACTCCCAGGAGGTAGAGGCATGGAAATTGCTTGCCCCCAGGAGCTCAAGGCCAGGCTGGGTAACACAGTAAACCCCATGTTGAATAAATAAATATCCCCCATTTGTACATGTTGACATAGGTAAACAGAAATAGTAATAGTAATGATAATAGTAATTTTGGTATTATATGTGTTCATATGTTTGTGGTTTATTTAGCTTCGTGCACAAGTATGTGTGGGATGTATGTATATATGTGTATGTCTGTGCATGTGGAGCTGACATCAGGTGTTTCCTTCTATCACTGCCTGCTTGGTTTTTAGGACAAGGTCTCTTGTTGAGCCTGGGGCTCACTGATTGGTTAGGCTGACTGGACAGTGAGCCTTGGGAACCTCCTGTGTCTGCCTCCTATTCCTGAGATCAGAAACGTGCAACACCAAGTCCGGTTTTTCATGTGGGTGCCAGGGATCTGAACAGATCCTCACACTTGTACAACAAGCACTTTACCCGCTGAGCCATCTCTCCAGGATCCTTTTATTGTTTTTAAATAAAAAGTATTTATATTTGTGGGTAGAGAGAGATAGAGAGGTGGGGTGGGCATGATCTTGTGGAGGTCATAACACTTTGCTTTGGGATTTGGTTCTCCTTCTGTGGATTCCAGGAATTGAACTCAGGCCAGCAGTTTTGAGAGGCAAGCTCCTGCTAAGCCACCTCTCCAGTCCTGTTGCTTTTGTTGAGACAAAGTCTCATATATTCTAAGCTGGTCTTAACTCATCTTCTTTGCCTCTACCTCCCAAGTGCTGGGATTTCATACAAGTCTACTATGCCTAGCTCAGACATATTTTTCCTACTATTTTCCATCCAAAGTGTCAGTCTTTGAATATGCAACCCTGGTCACTTACTCCCACAGCCCCCCAACTGTGGGGAGGATCCATTCCACTTTCCTGATGCCAAAAACAAAGCTGACAAAAGTCAAATCTGAGATGACAAATCTTGACCCACCTATGCTGGCCTCCATGATCTACAGAGACAATGAGCAAGGACAGCTAACTGACAGCATGATCTCACTTAATCATCACCAAACAACAACAGCAAACCCCCACAGATTAGGCCCATTTTACAGAGACACTAGATTCAAAATAGCTTGTCCCAACTCCAGGACTGTTAGATCACAGAGGGGGCATGTCTGGGTGAAAGAGGGCTGCTGGGAGAGTATGCCCAGAATAAGCTGAAGGTGGAGGGAATTGTGAATGAGACAGTTATGCAATTTATGATTGATGGGTGGGTAGGTTACTATGGGTGAGTTGTGGCAGGGTGGGACATGGGTGTGGAATGTGCAACACGCCATGTATGCCATGGCTTGTGTTCCTGCTCATGCAAGCTCTCTTGTCATTTTTGGTAGATCTCTGTCTGTACATGATGTGTCCTGGCCAACCCTACTTGACCATAGGCTGTATTTAATGGAATCTGCCTACATTTTCATCTATAAAAAGATGCATTGTTAGTTTGTTAGCTAATAAAATTCTGACTTGCTAAGGATCACATTCCACTGTGGGATTGTGTCTCTTCTGGGCAACAAGTCACAAGTAAAACAGGTGTGTTAAATGCTGTGGGGTAGCATGGCCTGTCACAAGTCTTCCCTTTCCTCCCAGCCCAACCCTGCTCCCAGGATGCGATGTTGCCAAGTGGAACTGGAAAGGACCTGAAAATGTCTTAAGTCAATGTTAGACCTTTTTGGGATCTCAAGATTCCAATCTTTCCTTTCCCTTCAACTAAGAAGTGGAGGATGAGACTAGGATCTTCCCCCACTGTAATGAAAGGGAGAGTTGCCCCAGAGAAGAGATGTGAACTAAAAAGCTATTTGAACAGTGACAAAAATAGTTTCTGTTTTTAATCATGTGAGGGTGTAACGGTAGGAATAGGGCATGCCAGGGAGCAAATGCAGCCACCAGTCTTGCAAGGCAAGTGCTTTACCTGTTGAGCCTTCTTGAGGCCTGCCAGGGATAGTTTCTAAACCTAGGGCATTTGCCCCAGTTCTAATCACTCCCTCCCCCACAACTGCCTCCCACACTCTCTTCCTCCATCTTGTCTCTAGGGACAGCATGGAAGGGAGCCTAATAAAGCTAAGTAGTACAGAAAGAAGGCTTCTAATGGATGCATCAATATAGTGTGAAAGCACATCCACCGCCCACTCTTTAACTCATTCATTCATTCACTCACTCACCCATTCACCCTTTTACATACTCATGAATTTCACTCATTTATTCAGCTCCATACCTTAATTCACCGGTATTTTCCAGGCTCTGTCTCTCATTCTTGCTCTGCGTTTATCATGCCCTCTGAATTGCTCTTCCAACGCACTGAGCAAGACAGGCTCTGAAGCTTCAAGCTGCTGCCCTCACACTCAGCCTTCAGTGACCCTCTCTCTCCAGCTAGTGTGGGAGCTTTCAAAGTGTCAGCAGAGGCGGTGGGGAGTTCAAGGCCAGCCTGGTCTACAAAGCAAGTTTCAGGACAGCCAGAGTTGTTACACAGAGAAATCTTCTCTTGAAAAAACAAACAAACAAAAAAGTATCAGCAGCAGAACACAGAGGGGTATCTCATAATTGTTCAGACCCCAAACAAAAGTATAAGGGGACAGGTGCATAGGGCTCGTAGATCTCATAAAGGATGTAGCCAGTGAAATAAAAAAATGTTTTAAAGGCTTAAAAAAAAAAAAGGCAGATATAGAGGATGTAGGACTGAGAGATGGCTCAGGGATTAAGAGCACTGGTTACTCTTCTAGAGGATTGGAGTTTAATTCTCAACACCCACATGGTAGTTCACAACTGTCTGTGACTCCAATTCCAGGGAGTCCAACACCCTCTTCTGCTCTCTACAGGCACAAGGCATGCATGTGGTGCACAGATATACATGCGGGCAAAATATTCATACAGGTAATGATTTTTTAATCTGAAAAAAAAAAAAAAGACTCAAAGGCTGGAACGAGTGTTGAGCTGTGCAGAGACATTTTGAGCACAGCTCCCATGTGACTGTACAGGGTACATCCGTGAAGCCCACCCCAACGGGAAGAACTGGACAGAGAGAAACGGGGAAGCAGAAAGGGGACACACAAAAGGAGAAGGGGAATTAGTGGCCATGGTGGCACATCCCGTTCAGTGTGGCTCTTGGGAGGTGAGGCAGGAGTGTCAAGAATTTGATCACTGTCTTGGCTACATAACAGAACAAAAATGATGGGTTCGAGGTGAGACGTTGGCCGTTGGCCAGTGTAGCTTTTTTTTTTTTTTTTTTTTTTTTTTTGAGACAGGGTTTCACTATGTAGTTTTTTGGAGCTTGTCCTGGAACTTGGTCTGTAGACCAGACTGGCCTGCAACTCACAGAAATCTGCCTGACTCTGCTTCTGGAGTGCTGGTCAGGGTACCTTAACAGTTATTTTTATATCTCGTGTATTGCCCAACCTACCCTTTCAGACTGTAGATTTGATAGAGAGGCTTGGAAGGAGAATCATTTACCCAGAGTCACAGTTAGCAGGTGGTAGGTGCCTGAGCATAAGCCCAGGTCTGAGGGCTGCAGATCTTGATTGTGTCTGTCTTGGGAGGGGTGGGGACCATCCCTGGCGTCTGGGCCAGCTGGAGCAGCCGGGAGCTATCAGGGGCCAGGTGAGAATCAAGAATGCAACCGGAAGAGTCTTCTTTGGCAAGGATACAGAAAACCCAAGTGTGGGCCTACGGTTCAGATTTTCAGCTTGAGGGCCTTGGGATGGCTTTGTCTCTTGCTCAGCACCGAGGATGGAAGTCGATGATTTGGGAAGTGGTTGACTTAGGGCTTGTTGGAGGTAGACTTGTCAGTGTCTAAGTATGTCAGCTGGGATCTCCAACTTGGAGCGACACTGGCTTGGGGGCTGCTGAGGTAAGGGTCCAACAAATGTCAGCCCTGTTAAATGTCTGCTTTGGAAGATTGGTAACTGAATATTAATGAGTTGGGGCCCAACAGTTGTAATTAGCACCCCAGGTGTCAGTCAGAAACCAACAAACAGCCAAATCCCTGTGGCTCCACCCAGCCTACCCAGCAACGGGGGTGATTAACCATTAACCCCCACCCCTCCCCATAGAACCTCCGCCCTCTACAGAGGCTAGGCCAGGACGCCAGGCCAAGTCTCCCAGAGGACAGTTTGAAACAGAAGAAGACAGAGAAGGGACTTGGGAGGAGGCAGGGAGAGGGCGGGGACGGGGGGCCTGGGGCTCAGCCCAGGGGCTTGGGTGGCATCCTGGGCAGGGCAGAACAGGGGGCTGAGCTGTGGGTAGGGGAGAATGCGACTCTCTAAAACCCTCGTCGACATGGATATGGCTGACTACAGTGCCGCCCTGGACCCAGCCTACACCACCCTGGAGTTTGAAAATGTGCAGGTGTTGACCATGGGCAATGGTAGGTGGGGGCAGTTGTGCCCAGGTATGGAGTGGATCTTTGGCACTGGACTTTGGGATGGGAGGAGAAATATAGAAAATTGTAGGTTGGTCCTATAGGCTTGTACAGGTGTTGCCAGGGGAAGCAAGTGGGCCCACGTACTGTGGCCAGAGGCATTCTGGGTGAGGGAGGCCTACAGAGGTGGATTTCCAACGGAAACAGTAGTTCCCAGATATTCACAACTTAGGCCCTGGGATCTCACACTGCCTTTCTTGCCACGTTACAGCAACGGGCCATGATGGTGAGCTTCCTCTGGGTGGCTGCAGAAATCCCACCCAACGTGGCCCCGTCTTCAGGCATCCGTCCTGTTCCTAGAGATGGTGACAGGAGGCATAGCTGCATTTCAGGGAAACTGTAGTCCGGGGGTCTGAGGGCAGGGATTTTCAGGCTTCCTAGCTAAAGAGCCAACACAGCAGTGTGGTATACATGCATGGTCCTAGGTGTCCGTGTGTGGGTGGTATGGCAAATGCAAGAATACAGCTTCATGTTTGTTCTCTCTTTTAAGTTCATGTCCTGGTTTCCTCCCTATATGTTTGTTGAATGGTCCGTGGTTGTGTCTCCAGGGGCATTTGTTCTTCTTACTTGCGTATATGTGTATATGCATAGTGTCTGTGACTGTGGGTCATGGGCCTGTAACATGTTTGTGAATGTGGATTTGTGCACGTACCCTGTGCTTCGTGCTCAGTGGCCCTGGATGGCATTTTCCATATGTGCATATGCATATAGCTCTCGGATGTACAGAGTTGTGTAGCTCCATTGCACAGGGTTTTGTTTGTTTTATATTATTTTGAGACAGGGTCTGGCTGTTCTGAAACTCACAACATAGACCAAACTGGCCTCAAAATCACAGAGATCCCACCGCCACTGCCTCCCAAATACTGGGATTAAAGGGGTGTACCACCACAGCTGATTTGGCTGTCTTTTTGTTTTGTTTTGTTGTTTAACGCAAAGTATATGTTCCTGAGCTGGTCTGAAACTGAGAACACATTCCCAGGCTGGCCCGGAACTTGGGAGCTTCTGCGCCGGCCTCCCGAAACACCAGGGCTATGCTGTGAGGGTCTTAATTCTTGCTGTATACCAGACATTGAGATTGATATCAGTAGCGTGCTTGTCCCTGAGCGAATTCTGCTGCCAGTGTGGGTGGTCCCAGTTCAAACGTCTGCTGCAATGTCACTGAGGATATGTCTGTAGGGGGGTGACGGTTTTCCTTTGCCAGGGGTTGAGAAGGTAGGCTTCCCGGGAGATGGGACACTCCTGAGAGGGAGGGGACCAGCTTCCAGACTAGCCTTGGAGAGATGGCACCTGGCTGAGGCTGGCCTGACACCACCTTCCACCTGTAACCCTGACTGCATAGCACATGTCAGGCTACAAGGTCTGCGAAGCTGTGCGCTCTCAATCTACCTAGAAAGAGGAGGCAGCATTTGGGCTCTGTCCATGGTCAGCCAGTCCCCCAGGTGCCTGCCCCTAATATCTCTTGCTGTGCAAGTGTGTCCTTGGGCACATTACCCCCCCTCCCCTTTGCCTCTTGTGTAGTGTAAAAATGGGTTTCTTATCTCCAGCCCTATTAGCCAAAAGCTTTCAGAGGACGTGCTCAGGAAAAGCACTGGAAGTGGCAAACAAGTTGTTTCTGCCCTGAGATGGTGTCATGTGACCCTCACAGGGACAGCACATGCTGTCACACTCCTGGCTAACACACAGCCCCTTCAGTACCTAGGAGTCCTGTGTTCCTGCACCTGCAGCCAAGCCCTTGTGTATCCCGAGGACACATCAGTTACCCCCAGCTCTGGAAAACCCCGTCCTCCCCAGCCTCAGTCTCTTTATCTGTAAAATGGAGATGGGTAGTAAGTACATAGTACATGGTTTACAAGAGCTTTTCTTGGTGTCTGATCCTGACTCCGACATGGGTGATCTCTAGGACTCCTAATATGATGGGAGGGTCTGTGTGCCCTGAGGGAGTTGGGGTTATAGGACATTGTCCTCCAAAGTGATTGGGGTCCATCTGGAGCTCATGGCTGGATGGTTCTAAGGGTATCTGCTTCCACATTGTGTCCCCAATTCAGAAACAGTGGCAGAAGGGTCCTCACAGATATGCGGACATGAGCAGCATGGCCAAGCACAGCACACCACCCCATAAACTCAGCCCCCTCTGCCTGGCAGCAGTAATGCCACTTAGCAAATCCCTTTTCTCTCCAAGCCTCAGTCTCCTTAACTGGGAAATGGAAGTGGCCCTGCTGACCTCAGGGGAGATGATCCGGCTAACTATGCCCAACCCAGGCTGCCAGCAAGAGGACACCTTGCCAGCCTCTGTCTGGAGTTGCGGGCTCAGCTCTCCCCGGGGGTTGAGGGAGGAGAGACTGAGGGAGAAAGGGCACTAATGAAGCTTAACAATTATCCCTGCCTTGGGAATAATTCACAGCTGGAGGGTGCTCCACTGTGAACATTCAGGAGTCCTAGGAAGGGTTCAGCCAGGAGACAGCAGAAATGAGGGACAGCTGCAAGATGCCTGCTGGGAGAGTTCTCTTCTGCAGGGAAGCATTTAGTTCACAGACACAGATCTAGAATCTACTGTATGCCAAGCACTTCCGGCAGACTTAATACGTCTATGAACAGCTCGGGAGGAGGCTGTGCTCCGTCTAACAAGCAGGGGAAACAACGACAAGAAATAACCCAGTGCTAAAAGACCAATAGGGATTTGAGCCTATGCTACAAGGGTTCAGAGTCTATGCTTTAGCACACACAGTCCTCTCCGGTTTGCAACAGGACATTCCTCTAGGAATCCAAGGTCACATGCAGAATCTGTATGGAAAAGACCCCCGTGTGTGTGTGTGTGTGTGTGTGTGTGTGTGTGTGTGTGTGTGTGTGTGTGTTGAACATGTATACACTTTTGTTTTGCTTAGGGGGAATTATTATAGAGTTTATCATCCTCTTTTTTTGAGACAATGTCTCAAGTAGCCAGGCTGACCTCGAGCTTACTATGTAACTGAGGCTGGTCTTGAACTCTCTGTCCTCCTGTTTTTACCTCCCCAGGGAAGAGATTTCCTAAAGAGTATATCTGTGGTGGAAGATTTGCCTTTTAAAAAAGAGAGATCTTCTACTGGCTTCTTTTTCTTTAATCTAAAACTAGCCAGACCAGTTAAAAACTGATCCCTTTTATAGTTGGGGAAACTGAGGCCATGGGAACCTGGACCTGGGAAAAGGAGCTGGCCCATAACCAGGAGAAAGCTAGGGGCAGCACTGGCACAAATTCCTAGGACTCCTGGCACGCGAGCTGAAACCTCTGCCAGAGGTCTTGCGTGTCCTCCTCACACTCCGATGAGAGGCGGATGGCTGTGGTCAGCATCCCTGAGGCATATACCTTTCCCCGCCTTGGGGGAGCCTGTGAAGTCTCAGGCTAAGCTCAGGTAACCATGGTCTAGTTCTCCTGATAGGGAAGAGGCTAGGGTAGCCTCTGTCCTTTCTGAACCTCCCAACTTGGAGTCTGTAAGTGACTGCCCCTAAGTGGTGGTCAGGTTCACTCCTTCCTGAGGAAGCTGGAGCGGCAGCTTCCTTCTCTGTGGAGAAGCAAGTCCTTGCAGGTGCCCCAAGAGATCAGCAGTTGGTTCTGATTTACAGACTGGAAACTGAGACTCCAAAAATGAGTGGCTCCGAGAGCAGAGGGATGGCGTGAACATAGCTCCCAACTCTGGAGACCCTGTTATAAGTCTTAGTCCCCCCACCCCGTCCCTCCTGGGTTATCACTCATTATCTTTTGGTGCAGACACATCCCCGTCTGAAGGTGCCAACCTCAACTCATCCAACAGCTTGGGTGTCAGTGCCCTGTGTGCCATCTGTGGAGACCGGGCCACGGGCAAGCACTATGGAGCCTCGAGCTGTGACGGCTGCAAGGGATTCTTCAGGAGGAGCGTGAGGAAAAACCACATGTACTCTTGCAGGTGAGGAGCCAGCTTGGGCCTCGACTTACCCAGCTGGGACATGGGTATGTTGGGATTCATGTCCTCTAGGGGTCCTCTTGAGGCATCTGCTCTTCCAGGCCTTCAAAGACAGTCTCGTTTCTTAGCATCTGTGGATCCAGGTAGGATCAGCTACTTTAGTGGTTGCCTACAAACCTGAGAGAGGATAGGACCAGACCTCCAACCTGCTTCTTTTTCTAGGTTCCAACAAGGCATTGGCCCTAGGCCTTTCCACCTATCCCCGTGGCCCCTCAAGATTCTGAAAATCTCTCTTTTAAAAGCATCTCTCGTTTTGGTTAACAACAGTAAAATACTAGCAGGGGTTGACTGAGTTCCATGCCAAGCTTGTAATATCTCATTGCTCCCTATCAATGCCCTTCCAAGGTGGTCACAGTTATTACCCTCGTTTTGTAAATGAGGAAGCCATATCTTGGAGACCCAGAAATTTACCTGAGGCCAATCAACTCGAATGAGTGATAGATCAGTGTTGGAATCCATTCCTCCCCTCTAACCTTGCCTTTACCCTTTGTGAGTCAACTACTGACTCCAAGCCACAGCCAGCAGCCTGCTATGGGCTGTGGGCTGTCATAGGATGTGCTGGGAATAACGATGCTCTGGTATCCGTGAGAATAATGGTTCTAACCCAGCTCCTCTGACAGTCCTCTATCTGAGTGGTCAAAGTCACCTTTCTAGGCTTCCCTTTCCTATGTTGCATGGGTCAAACTGGACTTTGGGACAGTCTGTAGACCCATCTGTCTTCTGATGGATCTAACATTAGAACTCACAGGGTACAGAGATGGATCGAGGAAGCTGGGACTTGGGTCAGGGTCAGAGCAGCCAGGGTCCTCCTTCTGCCCTAGAAGGGGGAGGCTGTGTCTTCTCTACCCTACCATCCCTCGTCCTCTCCAGGTTTAGCCGGCAGTGTGTAGTGGACAAAGACAAGAGAAACCAGTGCCGCTATTGCAGACTCAAGAAGTGCTTCCGGGCTGGCATGAAGAAGGAAGGTGAGCCCCAGCCCTCCCTACACCCCTGCCCCACCTGCACCCCGGCTCCAACCAACCCTGCATTTACAACTGGAGCCCTGCTTTATGGCTCCATGGCAGGCCCTGGGATGACTGGCTAATGGCTGAGAGGAGGGAGGGCCTGGGGATCTGACCACAGGGAGTGGCTGGGCTTGGTCTTGAGAAAGATTCAGAGATAAAGCTCCCACTCACTCACTTCAGCTCCCAGCAACTGCCACTGGGCCTTCCTGTGCCACCCGGAGGCAGCCAAGATGGATGCTTTTTCTAATGGATACCGCAAGCATTAGGAAAAGCAGAGAACACCACATTGGCAAACGCCCAAGTGCCGGCCACCAAGACTTCACAAATATGACCAGAGGACCCTATGCTGGGCGTCCTGTCCAAGGACAACACCCCAATTCTTGGGTGTCAGGCAATCTCTAGATTTTTCCCCTTCCAAACAATGGGATGAGACCTCACACTAGCCCTGATGGTGGAGACAGACTTGCAGAACACAATCTGAGTTTGCCCCAGCCAACTCCTGCTGTCAGACATGGAGCGGGCCCTTCCTCTTTCATCCCTGTGACAGCTCTGTGAGGCTGGGATGAGTGAGCACTGCCCCCCTTTCGTGGCAGAAGGAACCGAGGGCCACGGTGGCTGGTCCCTTTACTGAAAGAGCAGAGGTCCCAGGCCCAGCTTCATGCTGTTTGGACACCTCAGTGCTGCCTGCCCTGTGCCCTCCAACCCTCATTTAGGAGTGGTTTTCAGCAGCCAGAGCTGTAGCATGGTGGCAGAACCATTGCCTGACAAACAGGCAGGACCTGGGCCAGCCCCAGCCTGCAAAGGAAGAAAGACAGACAGAGACAGACAGGCAGGCAGGCAGACACAGAGACACAGTGAGAAGGAGGGAGAGAGAGAGAGGAAAAGGAGAGAAAGAATTGTTTTCCTCTTAAGCTCACACACACAAAAAAAAACTTTTAAATTTTTTTTCTAAATAACTTGAGTTAGTTTCCAAATCTCTTCCCTTCTCCCAACTCACTTTTTCCACTTAACATTTGCTTCCAGCCCGTACTGTGCTCTTCTGGTCAGACCCTCAGTCTAGTCCTGTGGGAACACACACGCACAGACGCACAGACACACGCACGTGCGCATACACACACACATACACACACAGACGTGCGCATACACACACACATACTTACACACACATACTTACACAATACACACATACTTACACACACACACACACACACACACACACACACCCTGGGACCCAGCCTATCCTGTGCTGAGGGAGACAGAAGGCGAGCTAAGAGTGGCAGCTTCCCTTCCCAGTCTCGGCTCTCACACTCTGAGATTATTCTCACTGTCTGTCCCTCACAGGGTCCTTACAGGTCCTCAGTGCAAGTTCAGGAGTTTTGTTGGAAAATTAGAGCCCAGGAATCCTACCCCATATTCTGGTAGACCTCTGCTTCTCTGACAAGGGCAGGGCCTATACCCCCTCTTCCCCCGCTGCTTCTCATGGGCTCTCTGGCTCATCTCATCTTCCCATTGAGGGCTGCTCTGTGGAAGGCGACCATGGTGCATGTGTGAATGTTGGAGGCAAGATGAATGACTATAGCCTGAGGGCTTTGTGTTCTTTAGTCTGATAGCTGGTGATTCTGTTTTCCAGTCCTCTGTGACATTAAGCACAATGACTGTCCCTAGGATGTTGTGTTTGAGAATGTGCCTCTCCTATAGAATGATCAACACATGGGAGAAAAGCAGACAATCCAATGGGGCAGATGGCCAGCTGGTGAGTCTGCATGTGGTCATGTGTCTTTTGTTAAACAGTTTCTGAGGGGAAACTGAGGGAGGCTTCCAGCCCCTCAGTGATCTACAGAGCCAAGTAACCCTAGATCCCAGCTCCTGAGAGAAGAGGAGCCCTACCCATCCAGCCTTAGCTCAAACTTGAATTGAACTGCTTGCTTCTTGGACTGGGAAATATACCTTCTGCCAGTAGGACAGGAGGGCCACAGAGTCACCAACAGAGTGCTGCAGCCAGTAAGTGCGTATGTGTGCGTGTGTGTGTGTGTGTGTGTGTGTGTGTGCGTGTGTGTACATACACATGCCTGCATTATGGAAGGATTGTGAGGTACAATTAGACCAGGAGTGCAGAGCATTCTGGGCCACCATGGGCAAGCCCTAGGAAAGCTATTGCTCACTCTGCCTAAGTTATAACATCCCCAGTACCTGCCCTCAACTTGATAGAAAGAATCCAAGGCCACTGACCAGGTGACTAGGGATACATTTTCACTTACTTTCCTGTCACCAGCTCCTGCACATGGACTTAGGGACACCCTAAAATTCTCAAGGGCCAGAAAGTGAGCTCCAAACAGGGTTTCCAGAGCAGCTAGGGCTAGTAAAGGAATATCAACCCAACTCCCAGGTGGGGAAACTGAGGCAAGAGAGGTGATATGAATGGGTGGGGTGGGGAGAGATTAATATCTCAAAGTTTTGAGAATGAAGCGGCAAGCTCTCTGGACTGAAATTTGGAAGGGTCCACTCAGGGTCTGTGGTGACTGAAACCTGGTATAGCAGAGAAGAGCTCTGGTCTCACAGGCCCAGGGGTCCATCCTGGGCAGAGGATGTGTCACAGGAGCCTTCCCTGGAGGGCAAAGACTAGGGGTAGGGAAACCTGGGGGTGTTAGTGAACAAGCAAACAGCTGGTGGAAAATTCTGTCCTGTGACTAAAGTCAGGGAGAGGGACACCTTGGCTCTCAGGCCCAGGACAAAAGGGCATCAGAAAGCCAGGCCAGGGAGAGGCCAAGAAGCAAGGAGGAGCATGGCCCATCCTGTAGGACCTTCCTCACAAGCCCAGCTCAGCCTCCAGAGCCCAACCATGATTCTCTAGGAAGTCACTCTCGTGTCTCTGCACTTCTGTCCTGCCGGTTAATATTCAATGGAAGTTACATTAGGTCCCCGACCCTGCTAATACTGCGCAAACATTAGGAAAACATCATTCTGTGACTGAACTCGCTCCGGTGCTGATAAGGCCATGCTAACCTTGAGGAGCTCTCTCCACAGCTGCTGACAGCAGTCTTTTATTCCGCCCGCCTCCCCGCAGCGCCCAGTGGGGGCAGGCGACAGGGCAGGCTGGGTTGCCAGGGAGGGGTGTGGCAGGGGGTACTTCCATGCCTCAGGGTTTCTGTCCTATGCTGCCTGGCTTTTCTGTCTCTGCGTTTTTGTGACAAGGTCTCACTTTTTTCGTTCCTTTTTTTTTTAAAGATTTATTATTATTATTATTATTATTATTATTATTATTATTATTAGTGTGTGTGCGCGCGTGCACGCGCACTCGTGCACACGCATGCACACAGGAATGAGTATGTACATGCACTTGAAGGCACACTCAGAAGGCAGAAGAGGGCGTTAGATCCCCTGGATCTGGGGTTATAGGTTCTTGTGAGCTAGATGATATGGGTACTGGGAACCAAACTCGCATCCTCTGTAAGAGTGGTTCATTCTGTCATCAACTAAGCCATCTTTCCAGGCCCCAACATCTATAACCCAAGCTGGCATATCCTCCTGCCTCAGCCTCCCAAATGCTGGGATTACAGGCACTATTCCCAGCTCTAGATTTCAACATTCTGAAACCAAGAGGAAGTTGTGGGACATATGCTGTCTTATCCAGGGACATCTCCACTCCACAGATATACACGGCATGCCTGCTATGTGCCAGGGTGACAGTGAGCAGGAGGGAAGAAGGTCTGGATTTTGGGAGCTTTGGAGCTAGATAATAAAGAATTCAGCAAATAATGCTACAACGGATAGATACATTGGGGAAATTTAAAGCAGGAGAAGAGGGCAGAGCCTAGGGCACAACACTGTGTCAGATGAGATTGAAAAAGTGACTGAGGTGACTTCTTTCCCTTTCTCTCTTCCTTCCTTCCTTCCTTCCTTCCTTCCTTCCTTCCTTCCTTTCTTTCTTTCTTTCTTTCCTTCCCCCCCTCTTGTTTTGAGACAGCATTGTTCTGTGTACCCCTGACTGTCCTAGAATTCTCTCTGTAGACCAGGCTAACCTCAAACTAATAGAGATCTCCCTGCCTCTTCTGGATTAAAGGTGCGCGCCACTACTGTCTGGTGACGTATTTTTTTTTAAAGACTCGCTTTATTTTTAATTGTGTGTCTATGTACATATACTTGAGTGGAGGTTTCTGCAGAACATTTGTGAGCCACCGGATATGGATTCTGGGAACCAAACTCAGGTCCTGGAGTAGTACATGCTCTTAACCATTAAGTCATTCTCCAACCATTGAGGGCGATGGGAACGGGGGTGTGAGGCATCAGGAAATGGCTGGGCAAAGGTCCTGCGCATACATGTGGCCTGTGTAGATGTCTAGATAGAGGGAAAAGCAGGTGTCAGGGACAGATTGAGTGAGAGGGAAGTTGTAATGAGGAGATGGCATTGGGGTTGGGGGATCAAAAGGAACCTGATGAGATGGTGGGAAATTCATTCTGAGCAGAATGTGACCTGTGACCTGGGTGTGTTCAGGGGAGCCCCTGAGAGCAACTCAACCTCAAAGGTAAAGCCAGGAGCTTCTGGTCTCAGGACCTCTAGGAGGGCCTGGTCTAGCTCATGGGAAAGTGATGGGGCCTGGGGGAGCAGAATAGGGTCTTCTGTGTGATGGCCATCGCAGCAGATCCCCGTGAGCCAGTGTGTGTGGCGGGGGTGGGGGTGGGGTGGGTGGCACTATGGGGGGTGCGGGCTGTGTTCAGGTGGAAGACAAGCAGGAAGCAGGCTGATGGATAGGAGCTTCAGACAGATGGGCAGACACAGCCTCACGCTCCCTCCTCTCCCTTCCAGAGCGAGGCCCCTTAGAATCCAGGGGATGGGTAGGACAGTGAAAGGACATCTGATACTTTAAGCCTGTACTGACTTGGCTAGGGGTAGGTGGTGGGCTGGAGGTCTTCCTGGTATAAGAAGGAAAGAGACGGCCTTCTCATTCTCCCAGGTTAGTTTACAGAGCAGGGTTCCTCCCAGCAGTCTACTAAAGGCAGCTGGGCCTCCAGGTCCCAACCCAGGACTTCTACCCGGCACTCAGGAATCGCAGGGTCATCCCTGTGTCACGAGGAGAGAAGTTTGCTCATTTGGAAGGGAAGGGACCAAGCGGCTTGCAAGCAGAGACTGTGGATCTGGGACGGTGGCTGATGCTCACTGTACCACTCAGACCATGGTCTGTCTTCCACTGAGTTGTCACTCACCTGCCCCTGGTGGGGACCTGTCATTCCTTCAGCCTTCTTATTGTATATAGGGGAAGGTTTGGTGAGCGACAAGCTTTGGAGACCGAATTAGGAAATCCCACATATGGTAGGCAAAATGACTCAGTGGGACATCTGCCACCAAGCCTGACAATAACTTAAATTTGATCATTACTGGGACCTACATGGTAGAAAGGAAGAACCAATGCCTACAATTTGTCCTCAGACTTCCACAATGCACCATAGCACATACATGCTCAAACACGCCTGTCTCTCTCTCTCTCTCTTCTCTCTCTCTCTCTCTCTCTCTCTCTCTCTCTCTCTCTCTCTCACACACACACACACACACACACACACACACACACACACGGTAAATGTCCACCCGCAGCACTCTGGTGGCCCCAGTCCAGGTTGAACCCCCTCCTCCCACATCTCCCAACTCCTTAATGGTTGTGGAACATTCTCTCTCCTCTCAGTGCTCCTCCTTACTCCTCTCTCTGCCTCCTCATAGCTGTCCAAAATGAACGGGACCGGATCAGCACGCGGAGGTCAAGCTACGAAGATAGCAGCCTGCCGTCCATCAATGCGCTCCTGCAGGCGGAGGTCCTGTCTCAGCAGGTACCAAGGGACCCTCTCACCTACCTGGACTCCCTTTCAGGGGAACCCACTTCTAGCTCAGCCTCCTCCTGCCAAACCCGGGAGCCCTACATGGAAAGGGCTACAGATACTGCAGAAGGAAAACCAAATCCAATGCCCACACTGGTTTTGTGACAAATAGAACTCCAACCTAGGTCTGGCATCCTGGGGGCGCTGTCTCGTTCATCTCAGTGGCCATGTTCACAGGCCATACAAACAGCTCTCGTTGAGGACTCTAGAGCAGCCCTACCAAACAGAAGTAATCATTGCAACAAGGTAGCAAACGGGCTCAGCCAACTTCTGGCTGCATGACCTCAGGCAAGTGCCTCTCTGGGCCACGGTGACTTCATATATGAGATGAGGGCAATGCCCTGTTCCTCTTTATACCCAAGGAGTTCCTGAGACGCGGAGGGTGGCAGTCCAAACAGTGCTCCCTGCTTGTGAGTCCTCCCTGTCCCTTTGCTTGGAGCTTCCTACTGACATGGAAATATGTAGTCCAGCTGCAACCAGACAGGGGACTTCCTAGGGACAGGGCTCTGTGCAAGGAACAGGAAGTTCAGGGAAAACACACCCAGCATTTTCTTGTCTTCCACAGATCACCTCTCCCGTCTCTGGGATCAATGGCGACATTCGGGCCAAGAAGATCGCCAACATTACGGACGTGTGTGAGTCCATGAAGGAGCAGCTGCTGGTGCTGGTAGAGTGGGCCAAGTACATCCCAGCCTTCTGTGAGCTCCTTCTGGATGACCAGGTAAGGGCCATGTGCTGGGAGCAGAGGTGGACGCTGGGCCATCAGGGTCCAGTGGACCTACCAAAGACATAGCCTTAGGCTGATTTGATTTGATTCAATGAAACGTATAGCACTCATGTGCCCCCAGAACTGTTTAAGTCACTCTACAAATATTAACTCAGTCCCCCTAAGGGCTATTAAGTAGGAATGTTTCCCATCTTCCAGATGAGGAAACCGGGGCACAGAGAGGTTAAGTAAATTACTCAAGGTCACACAGTCAGTAACCAACATAGCTGGAATTAGAACCAGCCAGGGACGATCCAAAGTCCAGACTCTTAACCAGCGCATCATTCAGCATTCCTGGAGATGTTGACAGGGATCTGAAACCGGGGATCAGGAGATTTGGCCTAAGCTCTGGGAGATTTTGGGCGAATTACTTTGTTCCAAGGCCTAGTGTTCTTATCTACCAAGTGGAAGTTATCTCTCTGGAGTGTTGTCAGAACTGGGGCCATCCTTATTTGAAAAGTCCAGGATGGTGCAACAGCATTCCAGCTGGACTCTGCTGCCCGCCCCAGTGTTGTGTCTTCTTTTCCCCCAAGATGATTTGTCAGCACTTTATATTCCAGACTCCTGAAATGGGTCCAGGTCGGGGAAGTGCAGGGGTAGGAGGGCTTTGTCATCTTTGGATAGATACGTTTCTGAAAGGCTCCATCCAACAGCTCCCAATACACACACCCCTGCCTCCACAGACATCTTCCCTGCCTTGATAAGGGGGAGGGGTCGGTTGCCTTCCCAACATAGAAAGCCCCGGAGTTTGATACTGCAGCATCTTGTGTCTTATTATTTATTTGGGGGATTGTTTTCTGTTGCTGTTGTTTGGGTTTTGTTATTGTTGTTTTCAAGACAGGGTTTCTCTGTATTGTTTTGGAGCCTGTCCTGGAACTTGCTCTGTAGATCAGGCTGGCCTCGAACTCACAGATATCTACCTGCCTCTGCCTCCCAAGTGCTGGGACTAAAGGCATGTGCCACCAATGCCCGGCTGGGGGGATTTTTTTTTTTTTTTGGTTTGAGACAGGATTTCTCTGTGTAGTCCAGGCTGGCCTGGAGCTCACTCTGTAGAACAAACTCCTTAAACTCACAGAGATCTGCCTGTCTCTGCCTTCCACGTGCTGGAATTTAAGGTGTGCACCTCCATGCTCAGCTGCACACAGTCTCGGGCTTCATAGAAGTCATGCAGCCTCACAGAATCTGAGTCCTCCCATGCCTGCCTCTTTAAACACCTATAAAAACACCATGGGGCACTCTAGGTCAACACTGCCCTGTCTGCTCCTTGGCCTTCCCCTGAGTCTGGACCCCAGATACACATCTCTCCTTTGGAGAGCTGACAGTCAGGGATCATGTCCAAGCTGTCCCTGCCTTCTACTCCTCGTGCTTCAGCCCCTGTCCCTCTGCTGGAGAGCCTGAATTAATGTTTAATCCCCCCTGTTCCTTCCCAGGAACTTAGCAGGACAACAAGATACCCCCAAGCTGAGCAATTGTTAACTTCCATTTCCCACCCAAACCTCCCTGGCTGGGACTCAGAGCATTCTCTGAGAGCAGTGATGGGTGGCCAGTAACACAGGCCAATCATTAATGCCCCCTTGCCTGCCCACACCCCACAGCTGTCATGTCTGAGGGTTGGATCTGGGAACCTAGTCATGATACATAAGGAGGCCACATTGCCCAGCACGCTAGGGCTACCTGTGAGATTTGGGGACAAGGCCTTCCAAGGGACTTGTTACAGGGACCATCTTCTTGTTATACCTGGATAGCCAATTCCTGGATCTGGAAGGCCAGGTCTGACTAAGGCACCGAGAGAGAAAGTGATTGGCTTAAAACCCAGAGCACATCGGCCACCACACTGCGATTTGACTCAGTCCCCTGTTTTGCGGCCTGAGAACCACAGAGCTAATGGTGGAGAGCACCACAAAGCCTCCTGGGTAGAGAGTGCTCAGTGCTTAACAAGCATCTTCCATATCCCTTCCCATCGTTCAGGCCTCCGAGCTTTCCCTCTCCTTCCCACGTTTGGTTTCTCTTGTGGGTTCCAGCCATGGTGGAGTGGAAAGGGCTCACAGCAGGTGGGCTCAGGAGGAGCCCCAACTGGGAGGAAGCCAGGCTGCTGGCTCAGTCACTCATTCCCCTCTCTGTTCTTTCCTTCACTCGTTTCACTAAAGACCTGTGTGTCCACTGTGTTCTGAGGGTCCTCTGGGCCTCAGAGGTTTACCCTGCTCTCCCATCCACGCAGCCTCTCCCATCTCACTGCTCCATGCTCCCTTCTCCCTCTCTCCTCCCCCTCCCCCTTTCCTTCCCCTTCACTTGCCCACTGCAGGACCACTCCCCTCTCTTTCCTTGCCTACTTTATCATTCTTTTCTCTCACTCTCTCAGCCTGGCAGTTGTATGAGACTGTTGCGTTCCCACACCGTCTGAAAGAGATCCCCAGGACCCACAGGGTGGAAGGAGAGAATTGTTCTCTGACACGCACGCGTGCGCGCGCACGCGCGCGCGCACACACACACACACACACACACACACACACCAATATGATTTTTTTAAAGAATGACACATTGTAGGCATCTAACATTTGACAACTAAATAAGTGAGCAATCAAACAAATGAGCACAGAGCAGCACCTAACCTTCCCAGCATGCCTTGCTACCTGCAGCCTCCCACGGACCACACAGATCCCCAGAGCCACCAGCCCCTCCGGCTGCCATTCTTTAGTCTTCACATAAGTGCTAAGACCAATGGCTCTAGAGCACAATGTCCTGTGAGGCAGCCAGACTCGACCTCCATCTTCAGTCTTCACGGACTGCCACAAAAAGACAGGGCCTGATGATGCCCTCCCTGTACATGACATGAGCACACTGTAAGAACATCCATGTGGAAACTCATGTAGATTCCCTGAAAATCCCAGAGTCTTACAGTGTCAGCAGTATGGGCTCTGTGGAGATCTTTAGCATTGGTGACTTCCCAAACTCGCTGGAGCTTTGGAATCGTCAGGGAAGCTTGCTGCCTACATACCGGGTCCAGCTCATACTTATAGAATAAGAGTCACTGGCAGTTGAACCCAAGACTATGACTTCCCCTAAAGTACCTTAACAGTCCCCTGCATCTGGCACACTGGTAGGAACTTGGGACCCACAGTTTTAAAACATCTTTTGAGAATCTGGTCTGAGGTATGCACACCAGGTATGGCCTGTGCCCTGATGAGGCCAAGGGCACAGCTCTTTCCCTAAAGATGGAGACAGGTCAAGAACAGAGCAAACAGGAGGTGTCATGGTTTGGAGAGCGCGTGCTTCTGCTTTCCTGGTGTCTGTAGAATCCTTCCCTTGCTTGGGAGGAAGGTGGAGGTTTTGTGGTGCGTTTTTTAGGAGCTCGGGTAAGTAAAGGCAGCAGGGACAGAGGGCTGCCTTGCCGAGGCCACTGACCTGACTCTGAGCAGCTTTCCTGGGATCCTGATGCTAGGCTTCACCCCATCTCTCTTCTAGGTGGCCCTGCTCAGAGCCCACGCCGGTGAGCACCTGCTGCTCGGAGCCACCAAGAGATCCATGGTGTTCAAGGACGTGCTGCTCCTAGGTGAGGAGGCTGCTGGTCCAGACGGGATGAAACCCTGCTTGGTACACCCACAAGGGAAGAGTACCTCCATAGTAACATACAGGGACAGACAGGAAGATCAAAAGCATCCCAAACTGGATGTACTGTTGCAAGCCTGTAACCCCAGTTATTTAGGAAGCTGAGGCAGGAAGTTTACAAGGTCAAAACATGCCTGGATTAAACATGTGGAGGGCTCTGGACAGCCTGAGAAACCTAACATGACCTTATCTTCAACTAAAATTTTAAAATGATTTTTAAAAAATCTAGCAACTATCAGTTGAGAATGCAGTAGCAATACCTTGGCAAGATGGCTCAGATGGGAACAGCACCTGTTGCCAAGACTTAGGCCTTGAGTTCAAGCCTAGGGACCCATGTGGTGGAAAGAGAAAACCAACTCCTGAGATTGTGCACTGACCTCCGTGTGCACTCTGAGACACACAGACTGCTCCCCAGAATAAATAAATACAGTGCAATTTAAGAAAACTTTTAAGGGGAGCCTGAGGTATGGCTCAGTGGTACAGCACATGGCCACCCCCAATGCCACAGCAAAATTAAAACAAATGTAGCCCAGCCCTGTTCTTAGACTTGACCCAAGTATAAGTCTCCAGAATCCAGCTCTCGGGTGGTTCCCCAGCTCAGGTGTAGGAAATACAGGTGCAAGAGAGGGGTCTCCTAGACTCCATGTTAGAGGGCCATCCGTTGTCCCTGGAATTTCAAGTACATTGTGAAGCTCTTTGTGGAGTTGAAACAAAAGGTGGCTAGGAATGGTTCAGCCCCAGCCCATGTCACCTGGGCCTTCAGAACATGCTTGTTATTCTGAACACGTGTGTAATGTACCCTGTACGTCAAGGACTATGCTAGCCACCAGACAAATGTTTATGACCTCTTTCAATACAACAACCCCAAGATAGTTACTAGATATTCCCATTTTTATAGCTGAGAAAACTGAGTCACAAACATAAGTCATGTATGTTACCTAACCATACCCAGCCATAAGTGACAGAACCATTCAGATGGGCTGACCCAGTTCCGGAATCTGTCCCTTGACCTTGACACTTTACTACATCCCAAGTGGGCCTTGGCTTTCCTTCATCTGGAGCCATGCAGGAACATGAAAGGCCTCTGAAAAAGCCAGGTTCCTAGCTTACCGAGGACTTCAGGCACTCGCCTTCCTCCATTGGCCTCAGATTTCAGATTTGTAAAATGGTCTCTGTGATCCCAGTAGCTTCTCCCAGGAGTACCAGGCACACTCTTAACTGCAAATCACAGTGATAGGAGACAACCAAGGCAACAGCCCCATCTTCTCCCCTCCACCCATCCAGGCAATGACTACATAGTCCCTCGGCACTGCCCAGAGCTAGCAGAGATGAGCCGAGTGTCCATTCGCATCCTTGATGAGCTGGTCCTGCCCTTCCAGGAGCTGCAGATTGATGACAATGAGTATGCCTGCCTTAAAGCCATCATCTTCTTCGACCCAGGTACCATCCACACCCCTAGTCTGTCCTTTACATCCCCAGACCTGCATTTCATTCCTTATAGGCTCAAAACCTCTTGCATTGTCATGACAACCAGAGGAAGTCATTTGCATCAACCCCATTGAATATGTGAGGGAGGCTAGGGTTCCCAGGAAGGAAGGACTTTACAGGGCAAAAGCCTAGGTTTTACGTTTTTTCATCTTCCTTCTTGTCCATCATCCTTAGCATCTTTTCTCCCATCCTCCATTACTGATGTTCTCCTGTTTCTGTTGATTACCTCTGGAGATTTAAGCAGAATGCTTTACTTCTTGTCCTGTCAGAGGCAGCATCCTCTACCCTTCAGTTGTTGGAATGAGGATGCTGCATCCTCTCCCTTCAGGTTCTCTCTGTCCTCTCCTTGTTGACTGTGTTGACTCTTGTCCCTGAGTTTGCACAGTATGTCTGTAGTCAAATCTTGTGTACAAAGCCTGTTTTTGTTTCTCATTATCTTTGGTCTTACCTGGAGTGTGGAGCTGCTGGGCGCTAGGCGCTGTCCTTGGTGCTAGACCCTGATTTCCCAGAGATGACCTCTAGCAATAAAAACAGCCAAGAGGACAATGACTACTATTTATTGAGGACTCCCAGGAGCACAGCTTTAAACCTACATTTCATGCAGATTATATGCAACATAATACCTGTGAGACAGGAATCATCTTCATCCCATTTTCAAATAAGAAGAAGATGGAAGTGTAGAGAGACTGATTAGTTCAAGCTAGGTTACACAACTAGAAACTTGTAGAGCATGGACTTGAACTTTGGGCCATTAATGTATACACTTCTTTCAAATTCATGGTCTTGTTTTCTGCCTGCAACTCCCCATTTCCCAGAGAGTAAGAGTCTAGTTCCAGTCCTGTGGTGCAAGGCTCGAGGCTGGGCAAGTGGTCAATGCTCAGTGACAGGTGCGATATTACTGCCCCCAAGGCAAAGTCAGCAGCTTGGTCCAGGGCAGGGGACCTAGTCTAGGCTGGCATATACCAGGAAGTCCATGAAAAAAAGTGCAAAGTGTGGGCAGAGTCTCTTTCTGCCGGAGGAGCTGAAGCCTCAGCTGACAGCAGCAGACAAGGAAGGGAAGACTATCTTGATGCACAAGTGCAGGATCTAGATAGTGGGACCTTATCTGTGGGCCAGGAGCTCCAAGTCCATGTCATGGTTCTTCCAGCACTGGTTGCATGAGCTGGCCAAGTCTTCCTTATTTCCCCTTGCCTGAGACAAGGAGAAACTAGGGCTCTCAATAGTAGAGCATTTGCCTAGTATGTGCAAGACACTGGGTTTGATCTCTAGCATAGCATAAGAAAATTTAAAAGAGGAGTGAGATTATACCATGCTGTACCAAGCTTAGTATCTTTTTCTGCCTGGGTCTAGGAAACCACTATTTTTTCTAGAGTAAGTTAGCTGTTGAGGACCCAAAATTCTCATGCCAGCATTGGTTAAGACTCCCTGTCTTCATGGAGATGGAGAGATGGCTCAGCAATTAAGAGCACTGGCCAGAGGTCCTGGGTTCAATTCCCAGCACCCACATGGCCTCTCATAACTGTCTGTAACTCCAGTTCCAGGGAATCTGACACCCTCACGTAGACATACATGTTAAGTAAAACACCAATGCACACAAAATAAAAATAAATAAAATCATTAATAATAAATTAATTTTTAAAAAAAAGACTCCATGTATTCTAAGGTCAATAAGCTCCCAATCGGGGATTTTGCCCCTTCCTGCTTACCTCTCCCATTGCAGATGCCAAGGGGCTGAGTGACCCGGGGAAGATCAAGCGGCTGCGGTCTCAGGTACAGGTGAGCCTGGAGGACTACATCAACGACCGCCAGTACGACTCCCGGGGCCGTTTTGGTGAACTTCTGTTGCTGTTGCCGACCCTGCAGAGCATCACCTGGCAGATGATTGAACAGATCCAGTTCATCAAGCTCTTTGGCATGGCCAAGATCGACAACCTGCTACAGGAGATGCTGCTTGGGGGTCTGTAGCCCAGGGGTGGGGGTGGAGGGTAGGGTAGGGATGTGGTCTCTTTATAGATCTGTAGTGCTGTCTCTTGAGACAGGCTCCTCATGAACCTAGCTGGGCTCTAGACTCCACTGATTTTCAGTGGGAGCTTGGACAGTCTGCCATATCTGTGGGACTTTGGTTTGCCATCAGGGAAAAAAAAATAGAGATAAGGACAGAGGTTCATTTGTTCAGACACTGAGGGTCTAGCATGAATCAATCACTGTTGTAAGGAGGGAAGGATGTCATGGAAATAGACAATAACCAGATGAATAACAAAATATAAAAATAGACAGGTCATGTGAGATGCCTCCCTGAAGTGGGGTCTAAGACTGATGGGTACAGATTACTAGATTTTAAAATTCTGGAAAACATTCCAAGCAGAAGTCATTTGTTCTAGGCTCTGAGGAAAAATTCATGTGTGAGATGGGATAGTTGGAGGAGATGAAGGTGGAAATTATCTAAAACTCAAGTCATTAACAGAGCTTGAAGAGCTAGGATCAAAAATGTGGGTTTTAAGCCTGCCAGTGGTGGTTCACGACTTTAATCTCAGCACTTGGAAGACAGAGGCAGGCAGCTCTCTGAGTTTTGAGTTTCAGAGCCAGCCTGATCTAGGAGTTTCAGGACAGCCAGGGCTGCATAGAGAAACCCTGATTTGAGAAAGACAAAATGAGTTTTATATAGAAGCAAATCTGTGTAATTCCAACAACAGGGAGGTTGAGGCAGGAGGACCATGAGTTTGTGAGACAGCCTGGGGAATATAAGGAGACTTTGGAAGGAAAGAATGAGAGAAAGGAAGGAAGGAATAAAATGAGGGATGGAGGAAGGAAGGGAGGGAGGACGGTGGGGAATGAAGAAGAAAGAAAGGGAGGAGGGAAAATAGGAAGGAAAGGGGGGCAATTGTATTTTACTCTCTCTGCCACTTTTGTAAAGATGCTGAAAATTAAATGAGCGTTTAAACAAGCCAGTCTGACTTAGGGGTCAATAGTGAGTTGAAGGGGACAGGGGGGCAGCAGAAGTGCCCAGGGATGTACTCTTTCCTGCCATCTGAGACAATGGTGGCTTAGACCATGGGAGTGGAGCAGGCAGGGAAGGAGACCCTGGAGGCAGCAGGGAGTGACAGGAGAGGAAAAGTAAAAGGCCAAGTCCGAATGTTTGCTCTGAGTGTCGGAAACAGTGGTGGGGTAATTTACTGACAAGGAAGACGGTGGAAAGCAGATGGCCCAGAAGATCCATCATAGACTCGACCCAGGAAGTGGGTCAGATATCTAAACTATCGAGGAGACCGTTAATACCTGAGAGAGCGGCCCAGCAACAGAGGGGAGGCAGCCTTGGGCTTTCCAGCATTAGAAGTCAGAAGAGGTGTGTCATAGAAAGCATCAGAAAACACCAGCCAGGGGTGTGGGAGAAAAGCAGGGAAATTATGGAATCCAAGTCAAGGTATGTTTTCAGGAAGACAGGGTACCATGATGTTAAATGGGGGGAAGGGGAGGAAAGGAGGGGAAGGGAAGAGAAAGGAAGAAAAGGGAGGGCAGGAGTGTGGGGGAGGCAAGAAGTTAAACACCAGTGAAGGACTAGGAGAGAGGAAGGAGTGGGAACATTCAGGGTCTCAGGCCTCCTGCTGAGTGCAGCATCGGAGGGCTTAGAGCATGGAAACCAGGCTGACAGAGTATCACAGAGTAAGTGGTAGGAAAATGATGGAGCGGAAACACAAAGGACAAACATTTGATAGTGTTCCCCATGAGGGGTAGCTGGCTCAGAGCTGAGGTTGGCTTGAGATGGTGACTTTAACCCCAGAGTAAGTGACCAAGAGACACCATTGGTCAAGATGAGAGTGGGCTGACTGCTACACTGTGGAAAATGGTGCCACAAGGCTGTGGTCCTTTTCCAAGACGTCCAGTCTTGACTGATGCCCTCATTTCTATCTACAGGATCTGCCAGTGATGCTCCCCATGCCCACCATCCCCTGCACCCTCACCTGATGCAGGAACACATGGGCACCAATGTCATAGTTGCCAACACGATGCCCTCTCACCTCAGCAATGGACAGATGTGTGAGTGGCCCCGACCCAGGGGGCAGGCAGGTGGGCAGCCTGGGGTCTACCCTGCAAGGGGTACAGAGGGGTCTAAGAAAGGAGTCAGGAGGAGATTGTGTCTAGAAGGTGGGACCAGGGACATACTTCTCTGTGTTTCGGAGTAAGGAATGGGGGAGGCTGTTGATTAAAACTGCTTACTCAGTGAGACTGTGTATTCAGCAAGGTCACCGACAATGTCTACTGAGAGGTAATCCACTAGGTGAGGGGACCATTGAGAATGTTAGTTGGCTGAGAATTGCATTAAATAGAATCATCCATTAGGTGAAAATGTTTATTGAAATAGGGCTGCCCAGATGGATGTGGCCATCCTCTGGACAGCTGAAAAAGACTGGCAATTAAGTAGGACTGCCCACCATGCTAGGCCACCACCTGAGGGTAAATCTCCAGTGGCTGAGTTGGTCAGTGGGCCAAGCTCCTCAAAGAACAGGATCATCAATGAGATGAGGTGGCCAGTGGGATGGAAGGGATTTTATAGTGGTCTACCAAATAAAAGTAAGCGCGCAGGTGAAAGTCGCTCTCCCAACCTGTGATGGGAACAAAGCCTTTTCATTTGCATTACTTTCCTCCTAAATATTGAAGAAATGCCAGGTTTTGGCTCAGTTATCCCAGGACTTCAATTGCTGTTTTCTTCCAAGTCAATATTTTTGTCACACATCATATTGCCTTTGTCACACATGGGCCCAGGTCTGGGAAAAGCAGTCTAAGTCTACATATCAAATGGTGGATGGGTGGTAGGACCTCAGAGAACGCAGATTTTAGGGTCTGAGACTCCTAGATGTTTGAGCCATAACAACCTTAGAGGTTAGACCCATCGTCTTATTTTATATAATTGTCTCGGCATGTGGAAGAGCTTCCCCGGCGCCCTTCAGTTATCCCCACAAAGGCTGCAATGTTAAGCAATTTCTATCTCTTTCTCTTTTTAGCCACTCCTGAGACTCCACAGCCATCACCACCAAGTGGCTCAGGATCTGAACCCTACAAGCTCCTGCCAGGAGCCATTGCCACCATCGTCAAGCCTCCCTCTGCCATTCCCCAGCCAACAATCACCAAACAGGAAGTCATCTAGCAAGCCGCTGGGGGTCAGGGGTTCTGCTGGCTCACACCTTCAGGGAGTACCTGGGTGTCACTTGAGTCACAGCAAAGAAGATGTGACAAGAGAGCCAGTCCCAGAGCAGCCATGGAAAGGCTGAGTGTCACAGGCATTGCCACCCCTGACCCCACACCTCAGAGGGCAGGGCTTTGCCTTGAGGAGACCCTGGCCGGGAAGTTTTCCAATGCCTGGACTATTTTTCCCAAGTTGAAGCCACTGTCTTCATCTTCATCCGTATCTTCCCTCAGCTTCTTCACCCCTGAAGGATGACTGCAGTTGCTGCAGGACCTTGTTTAAATGCAACTCCCTTCTCCTCCCCCTGCTGGGGCCTCTTCCTTCCTGGTGCTGGTCAGGGGGTCTGGATACAAAGCTTCTGAGGCTGAGGCAGCTTATAGTGCAGTACCCCTCTCTCTTCTGCTGTGACAACCTCAGGTGACCCTCTATCCCATCATCCTCCATTGTTACCTTCCTGGCCATTCTAACGTCTCCAAAGCCACCTCCTGGAGGCTGAGGAAGATGTGGCAACCATTTCCCCATGCATTCTGAGAACCTCCTGTAAGCACTGACCCTGGGTGAGGCAGAGGTAGGAGCCCCCCCCCACCCCCGAACCCCCTGCCAACACCACTGTGATTCTTCCCTCCAGCACTAGGCTAGAACTTTGGAGTGATAAGCCCTATGACTTTCTACAGCAGAGAGTCATTCAAGAGTGACAATTGCAATAGAATGTGGAGAAAAGTTGGGAGCCATGGAAAGACATCTAGAAAAAGAGGCAGGCTCTGCCTCTGTCCTTTGACAGAGAAGGTGACCTTCTGTCTAGCTAGCACAGCAGGTGACACAGGCCAGTTTATGGGAGGAGAGCCTGAGCAAAGGCCCAGAAGTAAGAAACATAGCACGGGAAGGAGACAACGAAGAAATCAGTTTCCAAGGAGTTGAGACAGGGCACATATTGGGGACCTTTGAACCTTGAATGCTAGACTGAAGTCAGGAGTAGCTGCAGGGTGGGGCTGACAGAAGATGAATACTGCATCCTGCAGAGGTAGGACTGCTGAGAGGGAGCAAGGAGGCCAGACTAGGAGTGAGACAAAGGGATGGCTCAGAGTTCTCCCCAGGGCCTGTCAAGCTCTTCCATACTCTCAGATGATGCAGTGGGCATTTGACAACCAACATCTCATAGAATCTTCGGAAGATGAAAGGAGAGCATCTTAACTGCCTCTTAGGAAGCTCTCATCTCCCCTGTGATGGAATTTGGAGATTTCCTCATCCTTTACTGGTGTCAACCCTAGAGGCTTGCTCTATCCAGAACTGGCCAGGTAGAGGGTGTTCTAAAGTCTGTTGGATGTCAAGAATCCTGTTTGTTGAGAAGTAGTGAAGCAGATTCATGACTCCTGTCCTTTTTCCTCTCCCTGAGAGTGAGTGAGGAACAGCAAGGGTGTGGTCCCTGGAAGAAGACCCCATCTAGTCTGGCCATCTAGGGCTGAGATGGTCTGGGTGAGGGGCAGGAGAGGGATAAGGAAGCCTGTGTCAGGCTTGCTTGAGGAGCTACATTCAAGGCACATTCTGGAACTGCTAATCCTCATCAGTCAGCGTTTAGCCTCTGCCCGACTCGTGATGGCTTTGAGTGGCCCCTACAAAGTGCCACTGGCCAATGGGAATAAGAGGAATGTTTCCACGAATGGGAGGAATAAACTATGAGACTGATTACCACAGTCCATCAAGGCTGACCCTTCTCAGTGGGCGGATCTAGCACCCCGGTGTCCAGAAATGCCAGCTTTAGTGGTAGGTCCTCTGTAAGAGGGTATGGAGGAATCCTGAGGCTAGCTACTTAAAGCAAAAGTACCTGCAGTCCTGGATGGTCAGGATGGGTTGTCCTTAACCCCTCAAGCCAAGCCTGCATCTCGGGACAGACTTCTCCATTCTCAGAGACCTCGAGCCTTCCTTGACCACCCCCACTCCAGTGCTCCCAGGGACTCCAGGCAGATTGCTCAAACTGCTCTGCACGGGACTGGTCTCCTTCTGGACATTGTCTTACCCATTCTTAGTCCCTCCATCCCCAGTGATGGTTATGAGAGCAGTAAGTAATGTTGGCCTTCCGTGGTAGCAGTCTCCTGGGGCAGGGGTCAGCCATTGCCCCAATCCATCCCTTTTGAAGGAGAAATCCATTCTGCATTAGTAACTATTACAATATGGGAAATGTGAAATAAAGAAAAGTTTACTATTCTGACTATAAGCTGAGGACACTATGTTGGAGGTTTTTCTTCTGAGTTTTGATCCTGATACATAATATGATGGACTAAGTAAAAGCTTCAGGCAGACAAGGGTGGGTGCTACAGTTCCCCCCTCTCCCCACAGACCACCCTCCTTTCTTCAGGGAACTCTCAGAAACTTTCAGGATTCAGGATGCTTTCCTGAGAGTGGATGCAAGAGAAGGGAGGCTCAGAAGTGGATGTCCTCTATTTCTTGTGATATCCCCCCCCCATTTGCCTTTGCTAGAACCCTTTGTTACCTGCCCTGGTAAATAGGAATCATGAACTTCACACCAAGCATTTGTAAAGTAGACGCACCCCATCAGACTAGTCTGTAGGTGTGCAAACATCACCAGGTCCCATGCTGATCCCCAAATCCCATCATTACTGTCCAAGGGGTCAAAAAAAAAACCCTCAATAACAGATCCTACTCCTGTGTTTTAGCATAAGTTTATCCAACAAAATAAATGGCACATATGTTTTCTAAGTTCTTGTACTGGTGTCTTTTCCCCCCTTAGTGTTAGAATAGGGATGGTCTGGGGTTTAGATAAAAATGCTTCTTTTTTAGTCATCCTGAAAAGAGGTTAAACTTTATGGATAATCTCCCATCATATATATGGGGAAACTGAGGCTCAGGGAGGTGATTTTCTTTGAAAAGCAGAGATAGGAGTTCAATCCTACCCTACCCCACCCGTGTGTGTGTGTGTGTGTGTGTGTGTGTGTGTGTGTGTGTGTGTGTGCTGATGCCCAGGGAGAGCAGAGAATGGCTTCATGTATTCTCTCAAGGACATTGTCCACCTTATCTCTGGAGACAAGGTCTTTCGCTGACATGGAATTCATGGATTAGGCTAGGCTAGTGGCCAGCAAACCCTGAGGATCTGCTTGTCTTCATCACTGGGATTTGAAGCATTTGCCAGGGGCTAGGGAGATGGCTCATCGGTGAAGAGCACTGACTGTTCTCCAAGAGGACCAGGGTTCAATTCCCAGCACCCACATGGTGGCTCACAACTGTCTATATCTCCAGTCCCAGGAAATGCAACTTCCTCTTCTGGCCTCCAAAGGCACCAAACACAAATGTGGTGCATAGACATACATGTTGGGGAATCACCTGTGCACATTAGATAAATGCATGTTTTTGAAGCATGTGGCTCCACACACAGCTTTTATATATGGGTTCTGGGGATTGAAGTCCTTGTGCTGATCTATCTCCCCAGCCCCAGTCCTGGCTTCTTAGTTCAGGGTGAGTGAAATCAGTCTCCTCCGCCTAAAGAGAGGAGGGATGAGAGAGGGCAGTGGAGAGACTGGGGAGAATTTCCAGAAGCCCCAAGTGGGTGCTCTTTTGGAGGCCACATCAGCCTTTCAGACACATGGACACCAGGATGTCACAAGAGCAAGAACAATCAAATGATGCGTGTGCCAATCTCCAGCCAGGCCTCTGGTCATTTGGGTCCTTCCCCCTAAGTAGATGGCCCGATGTCCAGCCCCTGTAGATCACATCCTCATATTCATATGGGGTGTGCTGGGGGCAGCTTGTGGACCCTGGGTGTCTACTTCTCTTCCCAGCTGTTTTCCCAATGTCGTGTCAATGACTTAAAACTGGCCACACTGGGATATCTCACCATCACAACTGACCAATGAGAGGTCAGGGCTTTTCTCGTGGAAAGCCTATTTACTTGGTTCCAGGGCATCCAGGGATAGGGAACCTTCGGATGCCCAGCTACAGTGACACTGGTAGCCCTTTGTGGTCAGTGTCATGTAGGTATGTCACTCCATCTCTGCAAGCCCCAGCTGTAAATCAGGAGCACTGCTCAGAGGGATGCTATGTTCGCACAGGTTTCTCGGGAGAGACTAACCATTTTCTACCTTCAAGAGCACCCATTAACTGCCTTTCCTGGGCCCAGAGGCCACTTCCACCTTCCCATCCCTTCCCTCAGCCCTGAACACCAGGAAATGTTTTGATGATGTTGCAATAAGCCTGTCTCCACTCCTGCCTTCATGGCTGTGGGGGTGGGGGCAGGAGGAGAACATTTCGGCCCTAAATTGTGCTTAATAAATCCATATCAAAACCATAAACCTCAGACTGTCATAAATTCCCCGACCTTGGCTCCTCCACCTCACCTGCCCTTTGCACTGCAGGCTCAGCGTAGGCAGCCAGTGCCTCAATCTGGTTCCCATTTCAGCTGCTGAACAATATGAGGTGGAGGGACAAACAGTAGTCCCCTTGTTGGAAGTTGAGAAGAGCGAGGGAACTATGGGCTGGCTGAGACCTGGGCCTCCTGGGAGGGCTCCCCCTGTCAGCCCTTCTGGAAAGGTTCCTTTCCAAGACACAAACCAGAGGCTTCTTGACCCATGATCCCCCACAGTGCTCCGGTGCTCACAGTGGACCCAGAAACCCAAAGAGCACTGAGTGACCGGCTGCTCGAGGAGCCAAAGAAAGTCTCAGGTAGCATGAGTGACCTGTCACCCCAAATTGATGACATTGTCACCTTCCTCAGTTGTAGAGCCCAGATCACCTTTGATTGACACTTCTCCAGTCTGTGTATCCTATGTAAAGTCCAAGCTGAGGTCTAAGGGACCAAAGTCCCTGAATCCCTTGCAAGTGTTTGATGATGGAGTGGGGTCATGATGTCAAGTACAATGTTCCGGGAATGCTTCCTCTTGCCTAGCTTGCTGGACATAATGAAATTCCACACACTCTAGGGCAGCTATTGTCCTGTCACATAAGTGAGGGGTCAGGCTCGGGAGAAGAAAGGGACTTGCCAAAGGCCCTTAACCGGTGTGACAGCTGATCAGGTGCCCATTGTCTGATTCCAGAGGCCACCATGAGGACACTGGGGAGCCATTGATGACTCAGGCTGTGTGCAGTGGGCACAGTGGAGAGAGCACTGGAAAGTGGCAAAGGTCAATGGGCAAAGACCCAGCATGAGGCATTCTGGGATTCCGGAGGAGGAACACCATGAGGCCCTCCCTTCCCCCCCAGAGCTCATCTTGTTCACGTGTGGAGGGAAAAGCAACACTATTACGCTCACTATTAAGAACCAATGTGGGGAGGAAGGGAGAGATTCCTGGTGTCTGGGAAAGGGACTGCCGTGCATGTTGAAGGAGGATGATTCACAGGCAACAGGGAGGCGCAGAAAAGTACACTTGGAGTGGAGTTGGAGTCAGAGAAGTCGCAGAAGGCCTGCAGAGAGGAGGAGGCCTCCATTCCCCATCTGGGTCTCAGGCCCAGCACGTGGCACCTGGACCTTCCCCAGCCCTGAACCTTTTCTTCAGTCCATAGACATTCTCTCTAAACTCAAAGCCGCGGACGTAAATAGGAAAGCTGTAAAAGGAAAGGACTGTAACATTAAAGTGGAAAAAATTAATTTTCAGCTGTGGTCAGACAGAAATGGCTAGAAAGAGCTCTACCTTCATTTCATCTCCTTGTGTATGTTTGCTTGTTTTAATCTGGCGTTTGAGACTCTGTCTCCTGAGTAAAGATTGAGGGTCTCAAAATCTCCATCCCCCCTGCCTCAGAATTCCAAGTGCTGGGATTATGGAGGTGTGTCATCATACCAGCATCCCCTCCTCCCTCCTTCCCTCCCTCTTTCCTCCCCTCCCTCCCTCTCTCCCTGCCTACCTGCCTGCCTCCTTCCTTCCCTCCCTCCCTTCTTTCTTCCCTCCCTTCCTTTCTCCCTCCCTTCCTTCCTTCTTCCCTGCCTACCTTCTTTGTTTGGAAAACTGAAGTGGAGTCCAGCTAGTCAGAAGATGAGGCAGGAAGATGACTTAAACCCATGGGTTTTCAGCAATCCTGGGCCACGGTAAGACCCACTCTCAAAAATAAAGTGGGGGGCGAGTGACTAACAAGTGTCACAATGAGGTCAAAGACATCTTCTCACCCAATGGGGATTTTCCCTTGATGTTTTCAAAAGGAAAGACCAGCCGGAAAGTGGTGGCGCATGCCTTTAATCCCAGCACTCGGGAGGCAGAGGCAGGAGGATCTCTGTGAGTTTGAGGCCAGCCTGGTCTACAGAGTGAGTTCCAGGACAGCTGGGAATACACAGAGAAACCCTGTCTTGGGAGGAAAAGGGAAAGACCAGAAAAGGGGCAGACTTCAGGGACCATGTCATCTAATGCCATTCCTGTGGATCTGTTAAATTTCCCAGCATCCCTACACGGTCCTGATCTCACACCCACAAGCATGCCTGCTTGTCTTCTCACAGTGGTGGAGCCTCAGATGATGAGCAGAGGAATCCTGGAGGGATGGGGATGAACTGGTGGTTTCAAAGCAGGGAGGGCTCTGTGTGTGTGTGTATGTGTGTGTGTAACGTCACTGTGGCTACACTATGCAGGGTGAAATGAAGGGAAGACTAAAGTCCTACAAGATGTGTCTGTACCACTGTAGCTTCAGAAGAAGGGGAAACAGCCCAAAGGTTAGTTCAACAAGTATTCAGAGGTTGCCCAAGATGGCAGTTTTGGAGATCTTAGGTACCGCCTGACCAGTCAGGCTTTCTGGAGCCTGCAGTGGTAAAGTGAAAAATTCAGATTTAGAAGTTTTAAATGAGGCAGCAATGCAACCTCCTTCATCTTTTCTTGTCTTTCTTTCTTTTAATTTATTATTTCACTTTTTGAAGGTTCTTATTGTGTCACCTGTGCTGTGTAGGGTAGGCTGGTCTTGAACTCACAGAGATCTGCCTTTGTCTGGCATCTGAGTGCTGGGATTAAAGGTGCCACTACCACAACCAACTCTTCTACTCTTTTTAAAGTGTCGTGTGTGTGTGTGTGTGTGTGTGTGTGTGTGTGTGTGTGTGTGTGCGTGCATGCGTGCGTGTGTGTGTGTGATTGTGCAGTTTCATGACATGGCATGCATATGAAGGTCAGAGAATAATTTGCTAGAGTCAGTTATTTCTTTCCACCATGTGCACTCCGGGGATTGAACTCAGATCATTAAGTTTTGTAGCAAGTGTCTTTACCTGCTGAGCCATCTTGCAGCACCACCGCACCCCCCTTTTAGACTAGGTCTTTGAATTCGATATGTAGCCAAAGACCACTTTGGATTTTTGACCCTCCTGCCTCTACCCCCTGAGTGCTGGAATTACAGGCGTGAGCCAGCAAGTCCTGATCCATTCAGTGCTGGTAACAGAACCCAGGGCCTTGCATATGCTAGACAAGTGCTCTATTGGTTGAGCTACAGACGGAGCAAACCAACCCTGTGTGTGACAGACACAGCACAGAAGAGATGAGCTTGGGAGTAGTGCAGGTGAGGGCCAGGTGCACAGTATGAGAAGGCAGGATTTGAAAACAGGCCCCAGGATTCCTGCCTCACAACACACACATCTCCTCCCATTCTCCAATCTATCACCCATTAACCTGCCTCAAGAGGACTTTTTTAAAAATGTTTTTAAAGTACATTTTATTTGTTGTGTGTAGGGTGATGTCTGTGTGTATCATAGTATTTTATTGGGGGGATGCCCTGTGCATTATGGCATTTTATTATGTGTGTGAGTT